AGCAACCACTATTATTCAAATTTACCCACCAACCACTAAAGCCAGTGATGATAAAATTGAAGAATTCTATCCATTTCTTCACTCTGAAATCAAGCAAACATGTAATCAAGATGTATTGGTAATTACTAGTGATTGGAATTGCAAAGTTTGGAAACAAAGAGGAAGTAACAGCAGTTGGAAAATATGGCTTTGGTGACAGAAACCATGCTGGAGATTGCATGATAGAATTTTGCAAGACCAATGACTTCTTTATTGCAAATACCTTTTTTAAACAACATTAAAGACGATGTACACATGGACCTCACCAGATGGAATACACAGAAATTTGTGGAAAGAGATAGTATAAAAGCTCCACATCATCAGGCAAAACAAGGCCAGGGGCAAATTGTGCAAGTTCAGGCTGAAGCTGAAGAAAATGATAAGTCCACGAGAGCCAAATTATGACCTTGAACATATCCCACCTGAATTTAGAGATCATCTGAAGAACAGATTTGATACAGTAAACCATTAAAGACCTCAGACCAGAAGAGTTGTGGGATGACATCAAGAACATCATACAGAAAGAAAACAAAACATCATTAAGAAGACAGGAAAAAAGGAAAAGACCAAAATGGATGTCAGAAAAGACTCTGAAATTTGCTCTCCAGCGTAAAGATGCTAAAGCAAATGGAAGAAATGAGCAGGTAAAAGAGCTTAATAAGAATTTCAAAGAGCAGCTCAGGAAGATAAAGTCAAATATCATAACAAAAATGTGCAAAGACGTGGAGTTAGAAAACCAAATGGGAAGAACACGCTCAGCATTTCTTAAACTGAGGGAACTGAAGAAAAAATTCAAGCATCACTTTGAAATATTGAAGGATTCCATGAGCAAAATTATGAATAATGCAGAAAGCATCAAAAGAAGATGGAAGGAATATACATAGACACTGTTCAATCATTTCAAGAGGTTGCATATGATCAAGAGCCAATGATACTGGAGGAAAAAGTTCAATGAGCATTGAAGGTATTAACAAAGAACAAGGCACTGGGAATTGATGGAATAAAAATGGAAATTTTTATACAAACTGATGCAGTCCTGGAGGCACTGACTCATCTATTACAAGAAATTTGGAAGACAGCTACCTGGCCAACTGACTGGAAGAGATACATATTTGTGCCCAATCCAAAGAGAGGTGATCCAACTGAATGTAGAAGTCATCAGAAAATATCATTAATATCTCATACAAGTAAAATTTGCTAAAGATAATTCAAAAATGGCTGCAAACATACATTAACAGAGAACTGCCAGAGGTTGAAGACAGATTCAGACAAGGACGTGGAACAAAGGATATCATTGCTGATGTCCGATGGATCTTGGCTGAAAGTAGAGAATACGAGAAAGATGTTTACCTGTGCTGTATTGACTATGCAAAGGCTTTCGATTGTGTGGATCATGACAAGCTATGGACAACATTGTGAAGAATGAGTATTCCGGAACACTTAATTGTGCTCATGAGGAATCTCTACCTGGACCAAGAGGCAGTTGTTCCAACAGAACATGGGAACACTGGATGTTTTAAAATTAAGAAAGGTGTGTGCCAGGTTGTATTCTTTCACCATGCTTATTCAGTCTGTATGCTGAGCAAATAATCTGAAAAGAAGAATATGGCATCAGGATTGGAGGAAGATTCTTTAACAATCTGTGGTATGCAGATGATACTACCTTGCTTGCTGAAAGCGAAGGGGACTTAAAACATTTACTGATGAAGATCAAAGAGCACAGCCTTTGGTACGGATTGAATCTCAATGTAAAGAAAACAAAAATCCTCACCACTGGACCAATAAGCAACATTCTTATCAACGGAGAAAAGACTGAAGTTGTCAAGGACTTAATTTTGCTCAAATAAGTCACCAACACTCATGGGAAAATCTGCTGCACAAGACCTTTTTTAAAGTGTTACAGATGTCAGTTTGAGGACTAAGGTGTGCCAGACCCAAACGCTGGTATTTTCAATAACCATGTGATAGTTGGACAATGAATAAGGAAGACCAGAGAAGAATTGATGCTTTTGAGTTATGGTGTTGGAGGAAAATATTGAAAGTGCCATGGGCTGCCTAAAGAACAAACAGATCTGTGTTGGAAGAAGTACAGCCAGAGTACTCCTTGGAGGCCAGGTTGACCAAACTTAATCTCTCATACTTCGACATATTTCTAGGAGGGACCAGTCCCTTGAGAAGGATACCATGCTTGGTACAGTGGAGGGTCAGAGAAAAAGAGGAAGACCCCCAACTAGACGAATTGGCACAGTAGCAGTAGCAATGGGCTCAAACATAGCAACGATTGTGAGGTTGGCACGGGAATGGGCAGTGTTTTGTTCAGTTGTGCATAGCGTTGCTAAGAGTTGGTACAAACTCGATGGGACCTAACAACATTTCTCTTATAGTAATGATGATGATTGATGATGATAATCATACAGTTTTGACAGAAGGTATTTATTTGTACTTGAGAACTTACCTTTGATGCTAACGCATGTATGAATAAGGGGAAGAATGTTGTTGATGTTGTTGTTAAGTGCCATGGAGTCCGTTCCAATTCATAGTGGACCCTATATAGTGTTTCCAAGGAGCGGCTGGTGAGCTTGAACGTGCCTCCTGTGCTCCTATCTGAGCGTCAGGGCGTGGGCACTACTGTGGGCCCCTCAGGCGGGTCCCGGGCTCGAGGTGGCAGGAGTCGGGGGCCGCTTGCCAGGACATGGGGACTATGGCGCTGCGCACTTGGGCACTGTACCACTTCAGGTCTTAGAACCCGGGCAAGATCTCGCTGCAGGAACACGAGGTGCTGAGTCTGTGCAGCGAGCAGAAAAGCAGGATATTGAGGGATGGCTTGAGGGCGTCAATGGCCGAGGTGACCCTGGCCTCTTCCCAGCCTTGTACGTGCAGGTGATTCGCGTACCCGAGCCGGGCCCGGCAGGCAACGGCAGCCCGCATGTACGGACCTGCAACGCCAACGTGCTGCCCAGCGGCTTTGAGCTCCTGTCTGCCACGACACCCACCTCCTTCAAGCCTTAGACCAAAGCCTTCCAACCGCTGCTCCAGGGGTAGGCACAGCTGCCGCCGAGCCCCTTCTAGCTGTCGAGCGCTGGCTTCCAGTAAGGCGGGGGGGGCGGGGGGAGGGGGGCTGCAGCCGTCGCCCCGGCAGCTCTGGGACGACAGCTCCACGGTGGCCGAGGAGCCAGGGGCGCTGGGCAGGGGTGCGTACCCGGACCTTGACGGCTCATTGTCTGGAGGAGGCATAGCGGGTCGCTACCGCCTCTCCACGTGCTCGGACCTGTCTCTGGGCTCCCACTACTCCGCGCCCCTGCACCATCTACAGCACCACCCGTCGGGGGCTAAGAGCTGGGCCACGGTGAGCCACAACCTCACCGCTTCTCCACCTTCCTCAAGTCTGGTGGCGAGGCGTCGGGCTTCATCAAGGACAGGAACAAGCTGTGTGTGGTTCTGGGCCCCTAAGGTCCCGAGTGGCAGGGGAACCCCTACGCCTTCCTGTGCACCACTGACGACCCCACCAAGCAGACCAAGTTCAAGGGCATGAAGAGCTATATCTCCTACAAGTTGATCCCCAAGCACACACAGGTGCCGGTGCACTGGCGCTACAAGCACTTCGACTGTTTGTACGCGTGCCTGACTGAGAAGTTGCCCATCATCTCGGTGCCCCACCTGCCGGAGAAGCAGGCTGCGGGCCGCTTCGAGGAGGACTTCATCTCCAAGCGCAGGAAAGGGCTCATCTGGTGGATGAATCACATGGCCAGCCACTGGGTTCTGGCACAGTGCGATGTCTCCCAGCACTTCCTGACGTGCCCCAGCAGCACCGACGAAAATGCCTGGAAACATGGTAAGAGGAAGGCAGAGAAGGAAGAGATGGTGGGCACCAACTTCTTCCTGACTCTGAGCACACCCCCTGCCGCAGCCCTCAACCTCCAGGAAGTGGAAAGTAAGATCGATGGCTTCCAGAGTTTCACCAAGAAGATGGACAACAGCTCTCTGCAGCTCAACCATCCGGCCAACGAGTTTGCACGCAAGCAGGTGACCGGTTTCAAGAAGGAGTATCAGAAAGTGGGTCAGTCCTTCCGTGGCCTCAGCCAGGCTTTCGAACTGAACCAGCAGCCCTTTTCGGCCGGCCTGAATCAGGCCATCGCCTTCACTGGAGATGCCTATGATGCGATTGGTGAGCTCTTCGCAGACCAGCCCAGACAGGACTTGGACCCAGTCATGGATCTGTCAGCGCTGTATCAGGGGCATCTGGCTAACTTCCCAGACATCATCCATGTTCAGAAAGGAACTCTTACCAAAGTAAAAGAGAGTAAGCAACACGTGGAAGAAGGAAAGATGGAGGTCCAAAAGGCGGATGGTCTTGAGTCAGGATCGCTATAACACGATTTCTTTTGCCACTTTGGCTGAAATTCACCATTTCCATCAAATTCGGTAAGAGACTTTAAATCACAGGTGCAGCATTTCTCACAACAACTACAAATATTTTTCCAAAAAGTGACCCAGAAGTTGGAAGAATATGATAGTGTTTAGTGAGTGAACATTTGGATTGGGGCCTTTTGTTCAGCAGAATAAACAACTGCTATCAAAGAGCTCTTGCCATGGGATGCTACCCAGAGAAGCCGTGATGCCTGAGATGGAGGCAGAGATGATGACGTGGAGAGATGGAGCAGCTGGGGACTTTAGACACAGAGAGGGAGAGGAGCTGTGTGCTGATGACCTGGGTGGTTGGTAAAGCATGGAGAGGATTGTATCCATGGCAATGAAACGATATACCATAGGATGAACGTAAAACTAATGTTCTCCCATGTAAACTATCACATAATTCACAATAAAACATTAAAAAAGAAAAAGAGCTCTTGCCAACTATCAGTGGTGTTACAAGGATGGGTTTTGTGTTCAACTGAAACCCAGCTGAATATATGATTCTGTAGGAAAGAAACAGTTAATACGTTTTGTAATAGAAACAGTAACACACATTGTAACTAAATTATACTATGTGTGCCTACATTTACCATTGTAACTTTTGAAATAATGACTATACTATTTGCCTTATTGCTTTTTGAACTATGGGTATTTTAATGCATACTTTGTAGACCTCAAAACCCATGAAGGGTCTCAAAGAAGTTGGCTGAAAAGAGGCAGCTGTGGATGCCTTTTACTCTTGTCCATTGGGATTACTTAAATTGAACCTGCTCTCTGTTTACAAACTCCAACTAGAGCAGCTAAGCGACTTTGTGCCTTTACACTCTTGGTTTTTGCTTTGGGTTTTTATTCGTTCCCCTCCCCCACCTTTTTTTCTTTTCCCCACTAAAAAGTAAGCCGCAACTTTTACGATTGAGTGAAACTTATAATGACAAACTAATGGTAACTAATTATTATGGGCTCAGAGAAAGAAGAAGACCACCCGTCATCAATTGATACAACAAGTGTTGTCCCCTGACAAAATGCTGGTGAGAATAGGGGAGAAACTCGAAGATCATACTTAGACAGGAAGGAAGTCTGTCTGTTACGGAAGGAAACGATACCATTCTACTCCCTTAGATTGCCACGGAAGCAAAAGTCTCTTCATCGAGTGCCCTAAAAACTTGGCGTGAAGACTTAAGTAAACCTGTCTTATGAAATGGACAAGAGAGGTCTGATCAATCAGGGGATGCAAGTATAGAATTGGTGACAACATTTGGTTTTAGTTGTTAGAGCTTTTTTGTTTTGTTTTTTTGTTTTGTTCTGCTTTTTCTTTTAGCTTGAAGAGATTTTACTATTCAGTGTGGCGTTTTTTAAAAAAAATCAATCTACAGTGTTAACTGATTGAGACTCCACTGTAATTCACTTGTTTACTCAATGAAAAACTTCAGGAATGTCTGTGATATTCAGTGTTCTACGTGGTGAAAGTCGTGTTGGTTGAGCTAAGGAGGGACTAGAAATAATTTCTACTATTCCAGATATTGAAGGGGAAAAAAATAATCGACTTCTACTGCATTTTTCATGGGAAAGCATTGATAAGCCCCAGGACATCTGATCTTAGCAATTCTTGTAACTCTGTTCTTTTGCTATTGTAAGGGATTTACAAGTAGCTAGCAAATACCAAAAAGATTCACCAGCAGCTTAATTTTTTTAAAGTACTAAGAGATTCTGACGTGAAATGCCAAAATCTCAAATGTTTTTTATTGGTGGTGAGCTAAACAATGCGATTTTCGAATTTGCAGGTTTAAAAACTGTCACTTCAAGGTTAAAGTATCCACTGTTTTTATAAAATCAAACTTAACTGCTGCCTCATAAATCCCTTGGTACTGAAATGGTAACATGGTCAGTAAAGAGGTCAGTCTGAACAACTGGTGAGTCATATTGATTAAAGAAAGGGCTGGTGAAATAAATATTCAACAGCACATTTAATCTCTAAAATCTCATGGGTTGCACTTTTAAGATCAGATACCAAAATTTTGATATTTGGTGAAAATATTACACCTTAAGTTACCAGAGAGTCAGTTTTAACATCTTGTGACTCTGTATCACACACATGTGGAACTGTCCCCAGCTGTATGTGATTGATTGAAGAGCACAGTTCCACAGATGAAAAACATTATATATGGATAAATGTTCATTTTACTGAAGAAGTTTGGAGAATATAATGTTTAAAGCATAATGCTTTTCAAATGATTTGGAAATCACTTTGGTCTTCCTCTTTATTTTAAGGGTGGTTTGATTTGATTTACCTGTGCAATGGAGTTATCTGAGGTCTTACATGACTGTGCTTTAGCCTGGGTGGTTATAGTTTAAATGATCAAACCTGAAGATTAGTGCACAAGGAAGTGTAAGTTCATGGTGGTGGTGGTGGTGATGTGCCGTGGAGTCGGTTCCGACCCATAGCGACCCTGTACAGGGTTTCTGAGGCCGTAAATCTTTACGGGAGCAGAAAGCCTCACCTTTCTCCCACGAACAGCTGGTAGTTTCAAACAGCTGACCTTGCGGCTCGCAGCCTGATTCGTAACCACTATGCTACCAGAATAGTAGAAATTATTTCTAGTCCCTCCTTAGCTCAACCAACACGACTTTTCACCACATTGTTGTTGTTGTTAAGTGCCATCGAGTCGGGTCCGACCCATAGCGACCCTGTACAGGGTTTCCGAGGGTGTAAATCTTTACGGGAGTAGAACGTAGAACGCTGAATATCATCACAGACATCCCTGAAGTTTTTCATTGAGTAAGTTCATACTGTCTACTTATAAGAAAACGATTGCTCTTCATCACTACATTGCATTACATCACTGATTCATAAAGAGTGTAAATGAATTCTGTGAGGTGGAACACCAGAATTACTAGCGCTCACTCTCACGTGCGATCTTTATTTCTCTAACATTCTTGGTCCTATTGAAACATTTCAGTACACAACAATACTGCAGTGTTCATATCCAAGAGAAAAGTCATCATAATGTGTATGCTGGTCATGGCGATCAGTGTGGTACAGTTTTTAAAAAATAAACTATAATGCCCTTAAAAGAAAAATTCTGAAAACTTCTTAGTGATAACCAAACACTGGACCTGGGGACTCAGGACCATAGTCTTGGTGAACACCAAGGTCAAAAGAAAAACTAACACAAGTTCTGGGTATTCATTCCAAAATCATAAGCCAATCATCCCACTGGGTCTTCCTCTAAGCTCTATCCCTAGTTTCTCCTCCAAGAATTGCAAGGGTTGTTAGTGCTGTC